GCTTTGGGCCATATGGAGCACAGGGGCTCCTGGCAGGCTGTGTTTCACCTGCTGGAGGTAAGCTTTGGCTCCTCGTGGAGAACAGCCCTCCCACATCTGTGTACTTCAGATGTTCCTCCACAGTGTAGGGGCTGAGGTGTAGTTTGGGTAATTGGGCCTTAAGTAATTGCTGGTTTTTGTGATGCATGGTGCAGCTGAGGTTACGCAGCAGTGATTGTGTTTGCTGAGGGTGCAGGAAGCACTCGGCTCCTGTTGCACAGGGCATGGGTTTGTCTGCAGCCTGCAAAACAGAGTCGCCCTGACATCACAGCTCTATAGCCATGGTCAGAGAGCAGCAGCCCATTGCAGTCCTTGGTTCTCCAGGCATCTCCCCTCCCCGTGGTCTCTATTTATCCACTGCTTGAGGCTCTGAAACCTAAATGTGAATTCAGGCTTTTTGGCCGTCAGAGCAGAGAAACGATAAAGAAGTTGAAGGTGACTGTGTATTAGTTGGGCTCTTTTTGCTGACACGAATGCCTTCCCCCACGCTGATACCCACTAATCTCCTCAATCTGGTTGGGTCACTGAGCATGGTGGGGCAAAGCCCTTCTCCTGCCTGTCTCCCTGCAGGTGACCTGTGCATATCCGAGAACGAGAGGAGGGTGGTGTCGAAGGAAGCCTGGAAGAAGCTCAAGCAATATTTCCCAAAGGCCCCTGAGTTCCCAAATAACAGAGTGCTGTTCCCAATGCAAAGTATCTGAATAGCAGACAACACAGCCCCTCTGCTGGCTGTAAATACGTGGCCATGTTTCTGGGTTTCCTCTTTGACGTTCTCCAGTACAGTGGGGAAAAACAATGTCACCTGTGAATAGCTGCTAGGAACTGAAGCACCAACCTGTTTTGTGCAGATTTTGGAGCGCGAAGGAGAAGAAAATAAAGCACTGCACAAGATGATGGCCAGTGAGCAGAAGACGTCCCTCCAGAACTTGTTCCACGACAAATGCCGGCCTTGCCTGGGCAGCTGGCCGCAGGTAGGGGCCAGGGGGAGGTTTTGGGTGGAAGCTGTACCCCTGCTGAGCTGCTCTGGCACCGAGCCCTGCCTTTGGAACACGGGAGTCCTCGTGTGCCACCCAGCTGTCGCTGGCCTGGAGTCAGATAAGCGGAGTGGCATTTCTCGATGGTTACATCCATCCCTGGAAGTACCGACGCAGCGCAGCCCTACTGATAGTGTTCAGAAAGTGGGGGCAGGTCGGGTGGTGTCACCCCATGCTCGGGGTACACAGAGGGATCTGCTTCAGTGCCCCCCAGTCCGAGGAGCGGTACTCAGCCAAAGGAACCCCAGTGCCAGAGAGCTGCTCTGGGGAAATGGCTGTTTCCTGCTATGAATTACAGGTAATTGGATCTGAAGCTAAATTAACTTTGTAATAAACACAAGATTAGTAATGTAAGTGCTCGGTACTTGATCTCAAATTATTTTACTTGGCTTTCTCAGCGCACTTGGATGGAGTTGTCATGGTAAAAATGCTGAGGTCTCAAAGAGAATGAGCACTGCAGAAAAAGCTGAACAGTCATTGCCTCTCTATTGTTAGGTTAATTAACAGAAGGCCGTGGGGTTTTTTTCCCTTCCAGGAGACAGACGAGCTGTATATTGTTTCACAGTTCTTCGTAAAAGAATGGAGGAAATTTGTCAGGTAACTGGGCTGAGCACTTTGGTACTTTCTGTTTGGTTTTGGGGCTTTGAGTTGGTGTTGCCCAGAGCTGCGTGCGTAGAAACAAGGAAGCTGGTTTGGAAGGACTTGGACTCTGCACTTGCAGCAATTGTAATACACTGCAAGAATCTGAATTTCCTTGTTTACCATGTGTCTCGCTCCAATTTATAGGAGGGAGATGAGGTTCTTTAATATCTGTATACCCGGTGTGAGATTAAGAAACAACGGTTCATATGTTGTTGCATCCAGTTTATTACTAAGACCTAATCAGGGAGACGGGGAAGGGAAGGAGTGCGATAGAAAAGATGGAAAAGAAGCAGGAGTTGTGTAAAGCGGGGATAGTCACCAGCAGGATCCAGCAGCGGTCCCGTTGCACGGTGTTCGAAGGTCCCAGGCAGAACGCAGCAGAAGACGGGGAGCAGCAGCGTGGCCGGCCTTGGGCAGCAGGCAGGTAGACGAGGAAGTCGAGGAGCCAATTCTTGAAGCAGCAACAGCGGTCAGGCAGCAGGCTCAGGAGAGTTCAACAGTATGCAGGAATCCCTCTATCTTCCGGAATTCCTCTCTCCGTCCGGAATTTCTCTCTCTGTTTCATGAGGAGTCTGTTGACAGAAACCTCTGTTCTTCTTGAGGAATCTCTTGTCAGAAAACCTGTCCTCATGGTTTTCAGTTCCTCTTTTATCCTCCTTGTTCCCCTGCCTACGTGACAAGGATGGGCCTTGAGCAAGAGTCATTGAGTACCTCCTGAGATGGCCATCATCCGGAGATAAGCCCACACAAAGGAACACTTCACAGCTATTCAGCTGCAGTTCACCTCTCTCTCGTCGCCCCTGGCCTTGCCCATCTGCGTTTCCCCAGACAAAGGATTTCACAACCTTTGCCTAGGGCTTGCCTGGACTTGTCCATATGTCTCTTTAAGACAAAGGTTTTCACCGTCCTTGCTCGGGGCTTGTCTGGACTTGAACAAGCCCATTGGTGTCCCCAGCAAACTTTGAGACACAGAAGTTAACAGTATAGTCTCTTACACCATGCCTTAACCAGATGGTCAGATTAGCTAGTAACCTGATTAGTTTTTTCATCTGCCTGGAGCTGTATCCCAGGCAGAGGTCACCGTTGCCATGGGCTGCGTCTGGTGCGGGCTGTGCGGGACAGGAGCGCAGTTTTGCAGTGCTCAGGAGCACAGCTCTGATGCCGTGTCGGTGGCAGTGTCACCTTCCCCATTGGAATGTCACCCACACATACCCACCTGCGATTTCCTTTTCTTGCTGCCTGCAGACTTCTGCTTTCTTGCTCTCTGTGCCATAACTTCCCCCATTTCCCTTTGCCCGAGCAGGAGGCCGACGCAGTGCAGCCCCGTTTCCTCGCTGGGGAACAGTGCTCTGCTCTGCCCCCACGGGGGCCTCATGTTCAGCTATGCTTCCATGAACAAAGAAGACTCCAAGCTGTGAGTTCCTTCTCCTCTCACCTCTGCCTTGCCCTGAGAGCCCCGGGGAGCTTCCCAAAGCTCACTGAGCTATGGCGACCCAGGAGCACGCGCTCCCCCCCAAACAAAGGGAGCGCAGCTGCTTCCTCAGGCATATCTCACTATAAATTTCCATGCAGCGCGAGACCCAAATTGTCCAAGGATGCTGGCTCGGGAAAAAAGAGCTTACTTAAGCTTGGCTAGTTCCTAACAATAGCCTACCCGGAGCCTGACTGGGGCGTAGCAACATCTAGCTGCTGAAGCTTTGCTTTCCCTGAGACTTGCCCCTGGAGCGCCAGGCGCTGGGCTGGAGTTAATGCTCCGCAGCCTTGCTTCTGCAGCGAGGCAGAACTAACAGCAGCAGACCTTCCACTTCTCTCCTCCTCCCTCTGGCCATGCTGGGCATGGCTGGAGCTCAGCAGCGTCGCTAAGGACACGCTGCTGTGCCTCCGTTACCTTGGGCACGCTGGGGCTGCAGACGGGTTCTGCTGCTCTCGCAGTAGCAGACTGGGAGGAAGAGGGGAGGCTGTTCTGGGCTTGGCGTTCCCATGTTTCCCATGTCATAAAGCACGTTCTCGTTTCTTTGCACAGTATAGCTCTAATATGGCCCAGCGAGTGGGAGAGGATTCAAAAGCTCTTTGTGGTGGATCACGTCATCAAAATCACCCGCACACGAGTAGCCGGGGAGCCCGAGAGCGCGCTGTACAGCTCCGAGCCCCGTGAGTGAGCTTTCCTGCCGCGTTGCTCCGCGGTGCTGCGGGACCCGGCCCTGCTTGGGCAGATCCCTGTGGATCCTGCTGAGCTGCGCTGTGGGTTGGCGAGGAACAGCGCCGGGCAGGTGCAGTGCTTGCTGTCTCCAAGGAGCTGAAGCAATTAAATGCCTTTTCCTTTGTGCCTCCCCAGAACTGTGTCCAGAGTGCAGAGAAGGGCTGTTGTGCCAGCAGCAGCGGGACTTACGCGAGTACACCCAAGCGACCATCTACATCCATAAAGTGGTGGATAATAAAAAGGTACGGATCTCTCCTTCGGCCCTCCCTCATCCCAGCACCATTTCACTGTTCAGAAGCTGCCCCAGCTGTGAACCCACGTGGCCAGACGAGTGGCTGTCTGCAGGCAGGGCAAGGCAGCTCACAGGCTTCTGCTGATTTCTTTCTCCCTCCCAGCCGTGTTCTGAGGGATGAGGTGGAACCCGGAGATCTGCAACTAAGCTGTCAGAGCGGAGCACAGAATGTGGTCTGGAGCCACTGTTGTGGCTTTGCAGCCTGCCTAGGGGCTGAATCCCAGCGCGGTGCTTGGCTCCAGTGCGGAGGAGGGCTTTTTGTCGTGGTGCTGGACAGGGCTGTGAGAACAGGCTGCTATTCTTCACCCGGCAGCTGGGGCTGGCAAGAGGGGGCGAGAGCTGGCACGCTGATCCCTCGTTGGTGGGGCAGTGCCCACAACAGTGCTCAGAACCACTGCTCCCCTCCTGCCAGCTCTGCCTCACAGTCAGGGAGCGTTTCCCAGCGGGAAGCCATGGCCCCGTGCAGTCAGCAGTCAGCAGTCAGCATAGGGCAGCACTGCTGGAATCCAGAAAGCTCTGGGGATGCTGCAGTTGGTGCCGGACAGCTGGGAGTTGCAATCTTGAACTTCAGAGACCTGGATGGGGAAAGGAGCTGTTGGACAGCTGGGGTGCAGAGCGCAGCTGGGCTCCCTGCAGACTGCAGGCAGAGCGTGGCCGTGCAGCGCCCAGCAGAGCCGTGCAGCCTGCGGGAGGTGAACAGGGTGTTGCGTTCTGTACGTTGGTGTCAATTATTTAGGTTTCATTTTACTTACAAACTGCAGACCCATAAATAACAGCGGTGAGTGCCTCTTTCGGGCTGCTGCAGGGATGGATAAGTGTATAATTTACAGATAATACTCCTTTCTTGGGGTTAGGGCTTTCATAATACACTTAGTTGAGTGGAGGAGCAGCCAGCTAATGGGAAAGAAATCAGTACAGGCCCCCAGAGACGTTCCCTTTGCCTGGAGAGGTCTGGAGCTGCAGGAAGCAGGATGTCCCCGCGGTGGGGTTTGCTTGGCCACCAGCAGCTGCAGTCCAACAGAGCAGCTCCAGAGCTGCATCTTCTCCCAGGCCTGGTCCCTATGGCTCAGTGCAGCTGGGGGGAGAGTGTTCCCTGAGCACGTGGAGCAGATCTCTGGGTTTCTCTAGCTCAATTCATTTGATCAAGGTGGCATCCTTGAAGTCTTGAAAGCTGTTTGCCACGATGTGACAGTCTGGGTTATGGAGAATGATTTTTATGACTTCAGGTAATGAAAGATGCTGCTCCGGAGCTGAACGTGAGCAGCTCAGAAGCTGAAGAGGAAAGGGAGGAAAACAAGCCAGAGGGGGAGCAAGACCCAGATTTTAACCAGGTAGAGAACAAAACACTGCGAGGTTCCTCTGCTCTGCACCAGCCTCTTTGAATCAGTGTGATGGAACAGCTCTCCTCTGTTTGCATTTTATGGGGCAGAGGGAAAGCAGCAGTGCCCACGTATCCCATCCTGGCGGTCATACCACACATTTTGTCTCCATTTGCATTACTGGGGCTGGTTTTGTGCCTGCACTCTTTGGTTTTAAAGCCAGCTAAGTCAAAAGCCTCTGCTGAGAGACCTGCCCACTTGATGTTTGGGTCACCCCGAATCCTCTTATTTCTGATGCTACGTCCCAAATGAAAGGACAATGGGGGCTGTGCCTCCTGGCACCAGGGCACTGCCGGTGCTGTATCACAGTGCAGGTGACACCACGGTGCAGAGGAGGGATCACTGCAACATCAGGATAAGCTCAGTGCTGGTGCTAGGAGCAGAAGTTGAAGTTTCTTTGGTCTTCCTACTCTCCTGGTGGTGCTGCATGTGTCAGTGCTCCCCCGGGGCAGTGCTGCAGCCTGGGAGGGAGCTGTGAGCTGTGCAGTGCCCACGGTTGAGCTCCTCATGCCTGGCTCTCTTTCAGAGCAACGGTGGTGCGAAGCGCCAGAAGCTTTCACACCGGAGCCACGTCTCCTACCAAAAGCAGGGCATCCGGCGGAGCACCCGGCACCAGAAGGTCAGGGAGGAGAAAGCACTGGTCGTTTCTGCTAACCAAACATTGAAAGAGCTGAAAATACAGGTAAGGACTTGCTGCAAGAAATGTGTCTTCTGGAATAAAAAACCCATGAGGTTAATAGTCAGGAGACCGCAGCTGGGAGGAGATGGAGGGAAGAGTTTGAGTCCCCAGTGGCGGCAGTGTGTGTCTGTGTGTGTGTGTGCGCTGCACGCGGTCTTTTTGTGCAGCTCAGCAGTATGTTTTTTCCTCCGCACAAAACCAGCGTGTCTCATTGTGTTGGCACAGATCATGCATGCATTTTCAGTTGCTCCCTTCGACCAGAACTTGTCCATCAATGGGAAGATCCTGAGCGACGACACAGCGACGCTCGGCAGCCTGGGCGTCATCCCCGAGTCCGTCATCCTGCTCGAGGTAAGGCAGGAGCAGCGCGGCTCTGGGAGGAAGGAAAGCAGAGAGCTGAGCTGCTTTGCTGGGCTCTTCCCTTGCAGCTCTTTGGGGAAGAAGAGCCTCCTTAAGGAGCGTGACCCCATGCACTCTGGCGGGCGCTCGCTAACTGTCCTCTTTGCTTTCAGGATGATGAGCCAAGTGCGGATTATAAGGCGATGGAGGATGTGGTGCAAGGTGAGGGAGGGCAGCCCTGTGTGCTCAGGGGGGAGGTCTGGGATTTGGGAGGCTGCCTTGCTGCTGTGCTTCTGGCAGGGACAGGGGCGGCTGTGTAGGGCTGTGTTGGCTTTGGGTTGAAACGTGAGGGGAAAATTGAGATGTTGAAGCTTTCCTGTGGCTGTCGGCTGGAGGTGCAGCTGAGTGCCGCAGCGCGCTGCGCTCACACAAAGGATCCTTTTAGAAGTGACTGTCAGGAGACTTCTAATATGATGTCTCTCTTTTCCCATCCCCAGTTTGTACGCCTGAAGAAGGATTTAAAGGTGAGAGTCTTCCCCCTCCCCTTTTACTGAAGCCCATGCTGACTTCAGCTCCGCCTCGCCAGCGCTGTAACTGTCGGCTGGTTGTCTCCTTGCTCCCAGGGACTGGCTTACTCGGACACTGATGGCTTTACAAGCACTGGCAGACCAGAAGAGAAGAGGATTTGACATGGTAGGGCATTTAGAGAGAAGGTGGATACGGGACTGAACTCTTGACTCTTCCAGAAGGCAGAATTCCATTCTGAAATGACTGCCCCCAAAATGCCTTATGTCAAAGCAGATTGCACTGAAGGACATCCTGACTTCAAGAGAACGTTCCCCATTTTATGTTTAATAAAGCAACAGTAGGGTTGGAAAGAGTAGCAGCAGAGGCAGCGTGTGCCAGGTTCAGGCAGATGTTTGCAGGGGAGGCGGGGGCCTCGTCTGTCCCAGAGGAGTTGTGATGCGGTCGATCAAAACCAGCTCCATCCATTCTCCGGTAACTCTTGAGGCGTAACCTGCTTCCAGATAATCCCCTCTTTGATCCGCTATTCCTCTTTCAGTACAGCATGAAAGTAAAGAAATTGTTCGTTGTGAGGAATGTCTTCATCCATTTCCCTGCAGTGTGAGCCCTGCGCTCCCAGGGCCGGGCTGCCCACACCGCACCGCTCGCCTTCGCAGCTTCACTTCCAGGCGCGACCGCTCCGAGTAACCGCACGGTCTCTCTCTCTGTGAACTGTGTTTTTAGAAACGTGGGCTGTTTTAATGACTTTTGATAACATCTTTCTCTGGTTCGTTACTGCCGGGAGCCCTCTGCCCCTCGCTTCGGACCCATCAGGGCTGCGGGGCCCTGGCGAGAGGTTTTCCCTCTGTTCTTGTTTTCAGGGATGCACTAATTAATTTGTTTACATCTCCAGCTCCCAGAAAGGATCTCTCCCTCTCCCCAGTTGCGTGTTTGTAGCAGGAGCTAGTGTTACCACTTCCAGACTTGAGGGAAGAAAAAAAAAAAGGGCACTGTTGAGTTGTCTTCATAATAAAGTTAGACATCTCTCGTTCTGTCAGAGGTTTGTGGCTGCTGCTCTGGGCACCCTGCTCTCCCCTGGGCCTGCAGCCTTCCTGGCTGTTGGCACCCACTGCTTTCCTTGAGTGCAGCCCACGTGCTCCCATGCCCTGGGCCAGGCGATGCTTGGCAGCCCTTCCCTAGCAGATGCAGTGCTGGCCCGTGCTGTGGGACACAGCTGCCCACATCCCTGCATGCCTCCAGCCTGGGCAGCTGTGGGGCTGAGCCCTTGGTGCTCCTGTGCTGGCACTGGGCCCTATGAGTGCTCCCTGGGTGCAGCAGCTTGGTGTCAGCCCCTGGCACCTGGCGTGCAGCAGTCTGTGCCAGCGCTTCCCCAAGTCACCGCCTCCCTCCTGCAGCCCAGGTCGTGGCTCTGGGGGATGCTGAGGGGTCCTGGGAGCACCCATGGCATGGGGGTGGATGGATGGCCGGACTCTGGGCTCCAGTGGTGGGAGATTAAATGGACAGATAGAATCATTGGCCACCAGAGTTGGGATGTTGAACGAGTGGAGGGACGGACAGGTGGACTCAGTCATGCACCAGGGCTAGGAGAATGGCAGATGGGAAGAGGGGTAGACAGACTCACTCTGGGCACGAGGGAGGGACAGATGGATATATGGACTCACTCCGGACACCAGGGATGACAGGACAGATGAATGGAGGGGAGAGTGAAAGGATGGACAGACAGATGGACTCGCTCTGGGCACCAGAGATGGGAGGGTGAACAAATTGGAGGACGGATGAATGGACAGATGGACTCTGGGCATTTGCGATGGGAGGAAGGATGGATGGGCAGACAGACAGGGATTCTGGACACCAGGGGTGGGAGGATGGAAGGGAGGGCTGACAGAGGGACAGACAGGCAAATGGACTCACTGTCCCTGGGGACGGGGGAGCAGATGTGGGAGCGCTGTGGATACCGAGGGTGGGAAGAGGGAGCAGATGTGGGAGCGCTGTGGATACCGAGGGTGGGAAGACGGGGGCAGCCTGGCTGCTCAGGGATGGGAGCGCGGTGGCTCTGAGCACGGACGGATGGAGGGGACGCCGAGTGCCGGGGCGGAGGGCACGGGGCCGCCGGGTCCCGCTTCCCGCTGCCCATCCCCGTTCCCCCCGCGGGTCCGCTGCCGGTTACGGAGGCGTTTGCTCCTCTCCTGGGGTCGGGATGGCGGTGCCCGGTGCCAGTGCCGGTTCCGGTGCCATTCCCGGTGCCGGCCGCCCCCGTGCGGGCCGCCCCGCCCCGCTGCACGTGACGCGGCGCGGCGGCTGCGAGCGGTGGGGCCCCGCGCCGCTGCTCTCCGGTACCGGTACCGACCCGGCCCCGAGCCGCTCAGCTCCGCTCCCGCCGCCCCCGGTAAGCGCCGCGCAGCCCCCCTCCCGGGGCTGCCACTACCGCCGGTGTCCCCGGGGCTGCGCAGCAGCGTGGGGGGCCGGGCCGGGCCCGTGACCTTCAGCCGCTGCCGGTACCGGGAGGAGATGGGGGGTCTGGGGGTGGGGGTGGGGGGCGTCAGCCCCTGAGTGTCCCCAAACCTCCCCAGTATGTACCCTACAAACTGCCTCCCCCCTTTCACCCCCAAACCTGCTCCCCGTCCCTTCCCCCCCCCGCATCCCGGCTCCATATTCCATCCCCCCTCAACCGTATCTCTGCAATCTGCCCTCCTTGTTACCCCCAATCCCCGCCCTGGCTGTGGGTGCTGAAGCACGTGGCGCCGAGGTTCTTTAAGCCCACAAATGCATCCTGGTGTGAGAAACATGGTGTGAGAAGACATGTTAGAATAGTTGAATGTAGAGATCAAATTCAGTAGAGATGATTGGAACTACTTGTCAACCAAGAGCAATGGACTGAAAATTTTAAGTCTGGCTTTAACACAAACTGGGAAAAGCAATGTTGTACTTCCAGAAGTTACGTAAATCCTACATTGGGTATACACAGGATTGCAGGC